ATGGCATATTTCAGAGAATGTGGTAAAAGCAGGTGAAGTAAAAGTACAGAAGTGGGGAGATGTCTTTTCTTCATTCAGCAAAAATTTATTTGAGGGTTTGTGAAGTGCTAGGCACATACAAAGATAAGTAAGATGCTCTTAATTATCTCCCATCTAAAGGAGACATGTAAGCAGATAAATTCAGAGTAGAAATAGTGAATATGTGAACTTAAGGAAAGGAAGGCATAGATTAAACTATTTGGAGAGAGTCAGGGGAAAAAGAACCACAGAATGGGGATGAGATCTTCCAGAGCTCAGTGTTCTGACTGGAGTTATTTCCTTGGGGCATAGGTTCCAAATATTTTTCTGATATACCATAGAAGCCAGGAAAACTGCTTCTCATATCCCCTCAAATGATTTAATTACTGATTTGAGTTTGTGTTGTTTCCTTAGGATTGTGCACCATGGATGATTTTGCCAAGGGAGAATTCACTGTAGGAGATTATGACTTGTTAGAAGATTGCCCTTATGAGGACTACTGTGTCTTTGCTCCTGAATTTATTACTGATGATTATGTTCGTGTGACTCAGCTTTACTGTGATGGGGTGGTAAGTAGGTTTGTTAATTTTTTTTGTTTTGTTTTTAATATTGTGTCTTACAGTTTTTCTATTTTAGGGATGTATAAATAAAGATGTTTTTGTGGTACATGGGTTTTGACTGGGAGGTGCACATGCTTTTGAAGAGTTGATTTCAAAAGGGAAAGTACGCAGTGCTTCAACATTAGGAATGTGGAATGCCAGAGAACAAGTGATGGTAAAAGGTGGTTTTCTGACTGGGTATCAGATGACCTGTTGGGAGAGCCATAGAAACAAACTCAGAAGAAATGCTATGAAAAAGGCCTTAAATTAATACTCACAGGCTGAAATTGTGTTCAGAGTGCATGAGGTTACATCAAAAAGTTAATGGAAAAATTGAATTAAAAGTTCATATGAATTCTTCCATGACTTTTTGAAAACCCTTCATATAAGTGAATGTGCACTGAAAATTTTTAGTTTCGATAATCCTTAGGTTAAAAGTCAAGAACTGTACTTCTGCATTTTACCAGATACAGATCAAAAAATTTTTCTTCTTTTTAGGGTAGGCAGTATAAAGATTATGCCCAAAGTGAGAGAAATTTAGGTGAGTACATGGGTATTTTATTAATTTATTTAAAAATTATAAAGGGAGGTCCATTTACTCAGTCATATCAACATAACATATTTATATTTCTTTTATTTTTTTATCAAAGCATAGTCGATTGTACATATCTATGGGGTACAGAGTTGAATACCAATACCTCTGCGGAATATGTGATGCTCAAATCAGGATAATTAGTACATTCAGCATTACACAATGTAATCATTTGTTGCGGCCCTTTAGCAATTTTTTTNTACCAAAACAGTATGGTATAAAAACAGACACACTGATCAATGGAATAGAATAGAGAATCCAGAAATCAACACACACACTTACTGCCATCTGATCTTTGACAAAGGCAGCAAGCCTTCACACTGGGGAAGAGACTGCCTCTTTAGCAAATAGTGCTGGGAGAACTGGATATCAATACGCAGGAGAATGAAACTAGACCCACACCTTTCACCATACACTAAAGTCAACTCAAATGGATTAAAGAATTAAATATACACCCTGAAACAATAAAACTTCTTAAAGAAAACATAGGAGAGACACTTCAGGAAATAGGTCTGGACACAGACTTCATGAATAAGACCCCAAAAGCACGGGCAACCAAAGGAAAAATAAACAAATGGGATTATATCAAACTAAAGAGCTTCTGCACAGCAAAAGAAACAATTAACAGAGTTAAAAGACAACCAACAGAGTGGGAGAAAATATTTGCAAAATATACATCTGACAAAGGATTAATATCCAGAATATACAAGGAACTCAAACAACTTTACAAGAAAAAAACAAGCAACCCAATTAAAAAATGGGCAAAAGAGCTAAGCAGGCAATTCTCTAAGGAAGATATACAAATGGCCAACAAACATATGAAAAAGTGCTCAACATCACTCAGCATTCGGGAAATGCAAATCAAAACCACACTGAGATACCATCTCACCCCAGTTAGGATGGCCAAAATCCAAAAGACGCTGAACGATAAATGCTGGTGTGGTTGCGGAGAAAGGGGAACTCTCATACATTGTTGGTGGGGCAAAATGGTGTAGCCTCTATGGAAAATGGTATGGAGGTTCCTCAAACAATTGGAGATAGATCTACCATAAGACCCAGCTATCCCACTGCCGGGAATATATTCAAAGGAATG